AGGCGCACCTTCAAATAGTGTCGAATGATGCTGTTTCTGTACTAGAAATCGCTGTGATGGCCTGAAAATTTATGCCTCTAGTTATAAAATTTAGAGCTTTGAAAAGAGAGTAGTTCTAGTAGATCCATGAAACTTGAAATTGACGGTCTAGAAAATGCATTACGAGATGCAGCACTATTTCCAAGACCTGAAATCCATTTTTTTTTCATGCCCATGCATCTTGAGTTTGAGATGATCAAAACATCCTCTTCTAGTGAATTTTTGAGGTGCACCTTAATTTGATTGTTTAGGGCCTCACCCTTATATATACTTTTTTCATGTATATGCAAGGAGTGAAAATGACTGGAAGGAGCGTTTCATAAGCAAAATTTTTAGCTATTTTGTTTTTGGAAATCAATTAAAACCTATGATATATCCTTTTTATGTTTTCAGATGGTGATGGGCCTAGCACACCCACCCTATCAAGTTCGAAGAAGAGGCAAACAAGCAAGCCAAATGTTGGTAAACAAAGAGAGGAAGGAGCAGGTAGCCAAGGACCAGTGGAAGAAGCAGCAGCCGCGATAGGAACGATTGAGAGTGGAATGGGCGAGGAAATGAGATCAGATATGAGGAAGATTGGAGTGGGAGAAACCAGTGAGACAATTTTAACCTTCCCTCCGAAGATCGTCGCTATGCATAGGGTGAGATGGAACAATAACAAGGGTAGCGAGAGATGGCTTTGCTTTGGAGGAGCGGCCGGAATTGTTCGTTGCCAAGAGATCCCCTTGCCTATGGCCCTCAAATAATAGCTTCTCATACCATGCAGCACGTACTGTGGCTTTGTTTGTTATTTAGTTTGCATTACATAATTGTAATAATAAAATGTAATTATTATTATTATTATTATTATTATTATTATTATTATGTTTGTTTCAATGTATATATCTTCCTTTTAGCTAAAGGGGAACATGAAAACTACTGAATTCAACTGTGCTTCAAGAACAGGAAAGTATGCTTCCTGAGTTACATACTGTAGCTATGGTCCTTAGGGAGCGTCTCCATCTAAAATCCAATATTGATAGGGAAGTAGGATTTTGATGTTCCCTAGCTATTTATATTGGGTGCGGTTTATATAAAGCCTAGGCTGTAAACAATCAAAGTAAAGCGTACCTTCAAATAATTTCAAGAAATGTGGTTTCAATATTGCAAATCTTTGTGATAGCATTAAAATATATTTTCATATATAATTATAAAATTTAAAGCTTTAAAAATAGTGTAAATCGAGCATATTTATGAAAACTTGAAAGTCTTGAAAAATCACGGTCCAAATATGCAATATAAGATGCACTTTTTTCAAAACTTGGAATTCATGTTTTTTTCATGTCCATGCATCTTGAGGTCGAGACGATCAATTTGAAGATATTTGGGCATAAAAAACGACTTTTTCTAGTGAAATTTTTGAGGTGCCTCATGGGTGTTGACTTTAGGGAGGATTTTAACCATGAACCAACTCATGAAAAGAAGGTGAATTTTGGTTAATGTATGTATGATGTGCAAGAGCAATGAGGGCGATGGTGACCATCCCTTTCTGCGTTACTCTTTTGCTTAACAGACTTGGGCATGGACTTTCGATAACCCTGATTTCACGATTTAGGCTGCTCCCATTTTGGTCACCTCTACTACGGAACCACTTTTGATTCGTTTGGTTTAACTAGATAGGCATTTGGATGTTCTAGATCATCTCAACCTCTCTTATCTTCCGAAAATGGAGAAAATCATTTGGAAGGTACTTAGAGCTGCTGTCGTTTTGGAGTTGTGGAAAGGAAGAGGTAGATGAATTTTTGAAGGCGAATTGAAGTGTGTGGAAGCTGCAAAGCACAAGACCTTGGATATTGCATTTTGTTGGGCTTCTACGAAAGGTGTAGAGATATCTACTATTGACATTGTTGTGAACCTTAGTAATATTGCTAAGCTGGGGGTGGTTCAACAAAGACATATTTGTAGGTGGGTGTCACCTCCTCAAGGGTCGTTAAAGCTTGACTTTGATTGAAGCTCAATGGGTAATCCAGGTTTGGCTTGGCGAAATTGTTTTATAAGAGATTATAGGTGTCTTATGATCCTTTCTTTTTTTGGGTCCTCGTGGCAATGTGTGCTCATCAAGTAGAGCTGAGGGCCATGGGTGTGAAACTATTTGTAGGGCAATAATTTAAGGACAAGCTTTATTCCCCTCGTGTATAAAATTTATATACCGTTCCCTATCCAACCGCCCATTTTGAATTGACAATTGAGATGACCCCAATCACAATGTCACGTCTCTACACTATTTTATTTTCATTTTTATTTACAAAACATGTCCACTCGTCTTTCAAACTCACATCTGTAAAAAAAATATATAAAACTATATTCTAGACAAAAAACTTGACCAAAAGGCCCTTGAAAATTCAGGGGTATTTTGGTCATTATAATTTATCAAAAATATTTTTTAATATTGGTTTTAGGTGCACCTAATTGAGATGATTATGTACAATAAATTTCACATTCATATAATTTGTATAATCAAAAATTAAAAATAAAATAATCTAAAGCCCTAGATTTAGATCAAACGTCACTTGATCTAAATTGAACGGCTGGATGGAAGAGAAGTATGTATATCTTCTATACAGTAAGAAAAGTATAGAAACTTTTTCCATAATTTAATGATGCAGGCTGATTCGCAAAATGTCATAGTGTGCAAGAGCAGAGGGTACCTTGGAAGCTGCGATTGGACCAGGTCATTGAGCAGCACCTCTCATGTCTATAAAGAAGCTAATGGTGAGGCCGATCTACTTGCAAAGAATGGAGTGTGATTTTTTTCTTGTCATGTGCCATAGTTCTATAATTTCCTTATTTTTGGATTTTATAGAAGTGTCTCCAACCATGGATGAGCTTTTTCTCTCAGTCTATGTTTTATATTTTTTTCAGCTTATTTGAATTTTTTTCTGTGTTGTTTCACTTTTTTTAATTTTTATTTTATATTTAATAGTTTTTATTTTCCATTCTTTAGGAGATTTTGGGCCTTATACGCTGCTCTGCCGAGTTATCAGCCAGCCAAGGCCGGGTCCATGGCTCGAGCCGAGTTTATAAACGTTATGATATGCATGGTAAGCAATGCCCGTTTGTTTGAGATAAGAGGAAATAATAAATAATAAAAATAAATGTCCAAAAAGAAAACAAGGTGCTTTTAATTGTGTGTGTGTTTATGATTGGGGTGGCAATAGACCCGGACCCGACCTAGGACCAGAGGGGTAGACCCTCTAGGTGTGAGTCTAAGAATTGGATCCAGTGGATTGGGTCTGGATCCAAATCTTGGACCCTAATACTATTCGGGTCCGGTAATAATTTTGGAGTCCCAATATATAAAATATATTGAAATATAGTCAAATACATAAATATTTTTTAATTTTTAGGTCGGGTCCGGACGGACTCACTCCCCACCCGACCCGTTGCCACACCCTAGTTTATAAGAGAGAGTGAATAAGGGAAAAAAAAAAAAGTGTGTAGGGGAGAGAGTGGTTATTAGTCCCCAAAATAAGCGTGATTGAAGAGAGGAAATAGATTAAGGTCTGAATTTTCTTCACAGGGAAGCGAATGTTGAGGAAGAAGGAGTCTTGTTTTGGATGCTCGCCAAAACCAGGTGTCCTCTAGATCAACACTTCCTGACCCGAAGATAAAGCCAACAATATCTCAACCAATCAGATCCCTCATTAATACAGACTTACTAACAAAGCCCCCCACCCCTTCCATCACTCTCTCTCTCTCTCTCTCAAACATGAAGCCCCTGCTACTCTTTTGCTTAATTGTTTCCTTACATATCACATATGGACTCTGCAATTCTAGCACTAACCCAGAGAGAAAGGTCTCTCTCTAAACATGCATTGTTAGCCTTATATATTGTATAATTTTTATTCTTATATATTGTATATTTTGGATTGTTTGCTTATTCATATTGTATATATGGATATCCGGATTGTTATTCTTATATATTGTATATTTTGGATTGTTTGCTTATTCATATTGTATATATGGATATCCAGGCTTACATTGTGTACATGGGAGATGCACCCACTCGAGGATTAGCTGCTGCCATAGACATCCACCATGACATTCTCACCTCTGCAATGGGAAGGTAATCCAAAATGCTCTCTTTCTCTCTCTCTAGAAGGTTTCATAGGAATGGAACTCGAGATGTAGAAAATCAACCATTACCGTCTTGACCTGAGCCTAATTCCTACTTCAATGTACTCGCTAACTAGGAACTCTCTCTCTCTCTCTCTCTCTCTCTCTCTCTCTCTCTCGTCTCGTCTACGTACGTACGACGTACGTATCGTCTACGTTTACGTAGTTACGTCGTACGTACGTAACG